TGGAAAGAGATTTTTGTTGTCCAAGCATTAGTTGTAAAATCTGCTGGTTCTGGGCTATAAGCTGTTGGATTGTGTCCAACATCTGCTGTGCATGTGAGACGGGATTGGCAGGTGGAGGAGCAACCTCCTCCTCTCGTGCTAGATTGTCTTCTGGCTGATTTCATGGATCTAGTGGTGATCGCCTTTGATTCAGTAAAGAAAGTGTTTAGATGAGAATTTTGTCGTTTCCACAAACGGCGTCAAACTGATGATGCACAAATTAGGTTTGTATACCACCTGTCAATTGAACAGTAGTAATTGATAAGTGCGAGATAGAGATAAAAACAAGACAATGTTTATAGTGGTTCAGTCAACGTAACCTACGTCTACTTTGAATGACTAGGGTCGCTAAGTACTTTTATTACTTCAAGGGTGTAGGGAAAACAAAGACTTACAAGCTTAGAGAGGGAGATGAGAGTTGTGCTCAGTTGAGTGTGATGCCCCCAAATGTTAGAGGAGCTTATAATTTATAGTCGCCTCATAACGGATTGGGGCAATTTAACAGTAATTCAATAGCTAATTTGGCAATCATAACGGATTGGGGCAATTTAATAGTAATTAAATAGTTGATCCGACGAAAGTGGCGACCTCTTCTCAACAGGCGAGGCAGTTACGATACTCTCCATAGGACTCGGTCAAAAGATGAGGTGAAAGTTGACTATTTCCAATGAGACGAGGATGAGACCTTGGATGACTTTGCGTGTTCCCTCTTGATATAGCTTCTTGAGCTTGACCAAGTTGACCACATTGGGTTGGACTTGATAGATCTCTTGGAATTGGACCTTTAACTCGAACCAGACTTATTACATGAGTTGGGTCCTTAAAGTTGGCCCATCAACTATTATGCAAAACCCTATAAAAAGTAGTCTTCACGACATTAAAAAATAAATTAATTAAAAAACTTTATCTAGATACTCCATAATTTTCTTACTTTCACAAAATTATATTTAATATTAAATTCACAATTCAATGAAAATTAACCTTATGATGGCCCTGTTAATTTTGACCAAGTTAGCCGACACACTTGACCCAATTAATGGGCGGCCCACGACTGAATGCGGCGTCCTTTGTCCTCACTCCCACTTCCCTTGAAACGCGTTTCCTCGGTGTATGAGAATCAACCGTTCAAAGAAAAAGTGAATGACAATCCTAGTCTACCCTCTGTAATGGGGTTTACATTTATTGATTTTACTGCTCTACATCGAAAGGGAAGGTTATGGTACTGCGCTCATTTTTTTTGGTACAGTACCCAAAAAAGTGTGTGGCCGATAATATTTTTATAAGCAACGTTATATGGACTTAAAAAATAAATTTGATAATCTCAATCATTAATTTTACTGTGGATTCCAGCATTTATTAAGATCTATTACATATTCAACGGTTGAGATTATAAAGTCTAGTTTTTAAGTCTACTTTTTAAATCCATATAGCATTACTTATTTTTTATTAAATGATAGAAAATTACACACTAAAGATGTGATAACTTTACCAATAAAAGTTGTACCATTTTTTCTAAATATTGTAATATCAGTCGCCTTTTTTTGTGGTACTTTTACTTTTATTAATTGTAATTTAACCTTAAATAGTTATAACTTCACGCATTTTTGTGTGGTACTTTTACTTTTATTAATTGTAATTTAATCTTAAATAGTTATAACTTCACATCTAAAGGTAGTAATTTTATCATAAATAGTCATAACTTCACTTTTAAAAATTGTAATTTTATTTTTAATTATTGTAATCTTACTTGAAGTGTTTGTACCTCATATTTAAAAGTGATAACTTTATTTTAAGAGTATTAAATTTGTCTTTACAAGTAGTAACATTACATTTAATAGTCATGATCAATCATGATTAATTAAGATCGATCCCAATGCCAATTTTTTTTTTTTTGCGATTTCAGTCAATTAGGATCGATCATGATTAATTAAGATCGATTCCAATAACAATTTTTTTTTTTTTTTGCGATTTCACTCAATTAGGATCGATTATGATTATATGAGATTGATCTTAATGCATTTGATGGTTCAAAAATTGGGACCAAACTAAATTTCTGGTTGTTCCAATTAAATAGGATCGATCATGACTAACCAAACTTTTTTTTTTCCCTAAATTGGTCCCGATCCTATATTTAATTACATTAAATTGACATGTAATTTCATAAAATTAATTAATATTTTATGAATTAATTTAAAATTCATAAAATTAACATTAATTTAAAATTCATAAAATTAACATTAATTTAAAATTCATAAAATTAAAATTAATTCATTTAATGTTAATTTAAAATTCATAAAATTAACATTAATTTAAAATTCATAAAATTAAAATTAATTCATAAAATGTTAATTAATTTTATGAAATTACATGTTAATTTAATGTAATTAAATATAGGATCGGGACCGGTTTACAAAAAAAAAAAAATTTGGCTAATCGTGATCGATCCTATTTAATTGGAACCACCAGAAATTTAGTTTGGTCCCAATTTTTGGACCATCAAATGCATTAAGATCGATCTCATACGGTCTTGATCGATCCTAATTAATCATGATCGAGCCTAATTGAGTGGAATCACAAAAAAAAAAAAAAATTGACATTGGGATTGATCTTAATTAATCATGATCGATCATGACTATTAAATATAATATTACTACTTGTAAAGACAAAGTTATTACTCTTAAAATAAAGTTATCACCTTTAAAAGTGAAGTATAAATTCTTTAGGTAAAATTATAATAATTGAAAGTAAAATTACAATCTTTGAAAGTGAGGTCACAACTATTTATGGTAAAATTACTATATTTGGATACGAAGTTATAATTATTTAAAATTAAGTTACAATTAATAAAAATAAAAATACGACAAAAAAACGGCGACTGTGGTTCCAATCTTTAGAAAAATGTTACAACTTTTATTAGTAAAGTTATCACACCTTTAGTGAGTAACTTTCTCTTACTTAATGAGAAAAATTGAGAGTCACACATTTATTTTGGTACCGTACCCAAAAAAATGAGGGAAGTACCATAGCCTTCCCCTACAATGAAAGATCAGTGGGTCCCTTTATCTTGCTATTTATCTTACCATGATATGACAGTAAAACATTATTCATGTCCTTAAATCAAAATACTTTAGATAAGCTTTTGTGGCACGAGAGAATTACATCGAGATTCTTAAAGCTGTGTGCCTTAATCATTCAAATTCTTTGGGATTTAAAATAGAGCAATGTTACATAGATTTAAAAAATAAATTTAAAAATTAAATTTGATAATCTCAATCATTAATTTTATTATGAGTCCCAGCATTTATTGAAATCCACTACCTATTCAATGATTGAGATTATCAAGTCTAATTTGTAAGTCTAGTTTTTAATTCCATCTACCATTACTCTTTAAAATATTACATATAAATCATTTAAAGTTTATAGCGCATATCACATTTAAACTTTTCTCATCAATCTCTGTTAGTACATATTTATATAATAAAACAGAAGTGTGTTTAAATTTTATCTCAGTCATATTTTTTTCCTCAAAACCATCATCAATCACTTACTTCACCCCATCATTCATTTGTCAGACTAAAACGTCAAATCACATTACTCATTTCTATCACATATTTAATCATTTATATATTTAATCTCTAAAGATATCACACAACTCATTTCTATTATATATTTAATTATTTAATATTTAATTAATTTGTAGTTAATATATTTTGAAAAAATTTAGTATAGTGGGAACGATTTTTTAGAAGCTCGAATTTTATATTTTATCGTACTTTCAGACACGGGTTATGACTAGTGTTAATAAATTATACTTAGACCATCTAAAATTTATAGATGTGTAATACTTAAACCTTTTAAATTTAAAATATTATTCTTAGACAAAAAATAATCTAATCAAAGATAAAATATAAAATATTTTAATTTTACAACAAAAATTCATGTTCTATTATTAAATTTATAGAAATAAAATAAAATAAAATATTAATTTTTTAAAAATAAAATCATAATTAATATATAATTATACTATCTATTGGAATTTAATTTGATCATTTATACGACAAAATTACTCCAATTAAAACTATAAGATATTTTGTTTATTATAGATTGATCCCTAACTTAATTTTTTAGTTTTGTTTTAATGGATAGTATAATTGCATAATAATTATGATTTTTAAGAAAAAAAATTAGATTTTTATTTTCGATTTTAATTCAATAAATGACATAATAGAACACACTTTTTTGTTAAAAAATTCATATTCTATGAATGACTTAAACCTGTTGTATGATTTTTTAATTTTATTCCAATAAATAGTATAATTTTATACTAATTAAGATTTATTTTAAAAATTAAATTTTTATTTTTTATTTTATTTCAATAAATGATACAATAAAATATGAATTTTTATTATAAAATTTAAAATATTTAATATTTTATTTTGATTAGATTTTTTTGGTTTAAATATAACATTGTAAACTTGAGGTGTATAAGTATTATACGTTTACAAACTTCAAGAGGTTTGAGTATATTTTATTTCACAAACATTGATGATAGCAGTTTAAGTGTTACGTCCGTACAAACCTTAGGAGTCTATGTATAATATTTTAAATTTTAAAAAATCTGAGTGATTAATTGACAAGTCTCACGAGGTCTTGACTAAATCCCCCTTTGTTGTATTGACAAAATAACAATTTTAATTTCTTGATGTTAGAGGCAGCATGATTCTAATTTATTTATTTTAGTTATATTTTGTTTAGCAAATATTTAATGGTATCAAAGTTAAAATTTGTTATTTGACCACCGAATTTGTTTTGACAATGACATGGAAAAAACTCTCCATCCCCTGCGCTCGTTTGCACAGGATTTCTTCTCACAAAAGACGACTACTAGTGCAGTACCCACATATTTCTCCACTGCTCCCTATAAAAGGATCAGAAGTGAGGGTTCCTTCTACTCATCCACACTCCCAGTCACATTTTCTCCGGTGAGACAGTTCAATCGAATATCAAAATGAATTCGCTGTGTCATTTTCCTCCTCTCTACGTCCTCGTTTTCTCTCTCCTCACCCTCCAGTATCTCACAACCACAACAGCAAAATGCCACGTGGACGACAAAACCGGGTTATTGGATTTCAAATCGGGTATCACAGCTGACCCATCCGGCCTGCTAGCCTCGTGGAAACCGGGTACAGACTGCTGCACATGGTCAGGAATATCATGCCAACCCGACAACCGGGTCACAAGTTTGACCATTTTCGGACAACCCGACCAACCAAACAGCTTTTTATCGGGTACCATATCATCTTCGCTCTCCAAACTCCAGCATTTGAATGGAATTTATCTCCAAAATCTCCGTAATCTATGGGGTACTTTTCCTAATTTTGTTTTCAGTTTACCGAGAATTCAGTTTATTTACATTGAGAACAACAGGCTCTCGGGTCAAATACCAGGAAATATTGGTAACCTGACCCGACTGGAGTCATTAAGCCTAGTTGGGAATCGATTTTCGGGTCGTATACCGAATTCAATCTCTGAGTTGACTCAGTTGGGTCAGCTCAACCTTGGTGGCAACCTTCTCACTGGCACAATACTGGATGGCATTCGGCGACTAAAGAACCTTACAATACTGAGTTTGGGCCGGAATCGACTATCCGGTAGCATACCAGATTTTTTGGGAACATTAACGGAGCTCCGATTTCTTAGACTTTCTCATAACAATTTTTCGGGGAAAATTCCAGGAAGCATTTCAGCTCTAGCACCCAAGCTACTCAATCTAGAGCTGGGGCACAATGCTCTGATTGGGCAAATCCCAGATTTTCTAGGAAATTTCCATGCACTGGACACATTGGATCTCTCATGGAATCTTTTCTCTGGAACCGTGCCAAAAACTTTTGAAAATCTCACCAAGATCTTCAATCTTGATCTCTCTCACAACTTTCTCGTCGACCCATTTCCCGATATGAACGTTAAAGGAATAGAATCGTTAGATCTTTCATATAATGATTTTCATTTGGTAAATATTCCGTCATGGGTTACTTCATCTCCGATCATATACTCCCTAAAGTTAGCCAAATGCGGAATCAAGATCAAATTGGACGGTTGGAAGCCAAAAGAGACCTATTTTTACGATTATATTGATCTGTCAGAGAATGAAATTTCGGGTAGTCCAGTCGGGTTGCTGAATAGAACGGATTATTTGGTGGGTTTTTATGGGTCGGGTGATCAGTTGAGATTTAATTTGGAGAGCATGAGATTTGTGAAGACCTTGAAGTATTTGGATTTTTCGAGGAATTTGGTGTTTGGAAAGTTGCCCAAGGCTATTTCCGGGCTTAAACTGGTGAATGTGAGTCACAACCATTTGTGTGGTCCGATACCAGCGACGAAGTTACCGGCGAGTGCTTTTGAGGGGAATGATTGCCTCTGTGGTTCTCCTTTACCCCCATGCAAAGTGTAGTCATGTAAAGTCTGAGATAAAATCTCCTCCAATGCATATTGTTACTAAAAATAGGGAAAATTTACAACTCGACCTCTGAGGTTTGTCAGTCCTTCATATATGAAAAATAATAATACTGTGTTACCTTACTAGTAACAATGAATGAAAAGACATAATAGAAATATCCAAATGACCAAATTACCCTTTAATAAAAAATTAAAATACAAGTCATTCAACTAAAATCCAAATAATTTCTAAAACCAAATATCCATAACCTGAATCTACAGCCCCAAGTCCCAGAATTATTCCAGAGCTCTATATCTCCACACAATCGGCATCATCCTTCTGCTACCACGCTCAGTTTCGCAGCACGATCACCACCATTGCAGGCCACCAATTAGACCCACTATAATTCCCAAATGAGAGAGAGAATTGCAAGCCATCAAAGGGGTTCGATGAACATGATTAAAAAAGAGAGCCCTAAAGATTTGAAGATATGTGATGGGACGTTTTTCAGAAGGGTCTTAGATTGGTGACACGTGTCCTCGGCGCCGAAGAGTTTTCTCGTCTCCGTCAAAGCTATGTGTCCTCGGCCCCAGAGGCCTCCGTTTAAACCTCGGTACCGATACATGTCCCTCAGCTGCAGGACAAGCCCCCTCGGTCCCGAGGGTACTTTCTATGATCTCGCCCACCTGTTTTAATGCATATTCCTCGGCTCATGAATCTTCGACTCCTGAGGAGACTAGGGACTGACGGAGCTTAAACTAGACTTGGGACTGCGAGGACACCCTACATAAAGCATTCAGGGTGACAGGTTGGGTTGAACATTCAACCAAAGAGAGTCAGACACGTGGCGACGAGTACGGTATAAGGAGTGAAAAGACTAAAAAGACAGGCTTGTCCCTACTGATATGCGACCAATAAATACACGCATTTAATGCACTATCAGTTAACAAGATGTTTACCATGGCTTGATAAGCGAAAAAGTTACAGTATTGAATGCTTGGGGATTCGGGCATTTAATCCTGCCACGCACAAGAAGGAACATTAAGTACTCGGCAGGCCGAGCAATCAGTACTGGGACATTCCCCATCAAAAGTAAGTTTTATACTGTCCCACCTCTGAGTAGTTTAGATTTTCAGCAATGATGAGCTTTTGAAGGTATAAATAGTCCTAAAAAATACATTGCAAATGTACGTGATACTGTCTAACAAGAGTCATACAGTGTTTTCTTCTTCCCCTTTCTCAAAGAATTGACTTGACCGTCGGAAGGGATACGCCGGAGAACACTCTGGCGCCCTTCTAACCTATTCTATGTGATCCAGGAATATCTCGCGAACCTCCAGAATCGATTTGACATCACCAGAAGCAATTTATCACCAGTCCTTAGGTCCCCTTTGGCCTTTTCAACCTATTCCTTGTTGCCGGATCCACCGTTTCGATGGGTCAAATCTCATCGTGGGAGAGATCTGTTCTCATTTCAACTATTGTGCAAAAAACTGCTCGCACAATTTGGCGCCCTCTGTGAAAAATGACTAAAATTTTCAAAAGAATAGTAACTATGGTGAATACTCAACAAAAGGGAAAGGGTTCTCAACAAATGAATATCGAATTACCGGTCCCATCCTGTTCAAAGACAAGGAACTACGTGGAAAGTACCAACAAGGGGCTCACCGTTCATACAATGGAGGAAACCCATCAAACCAGCATGGGTATTGAGTCAGGAGGGTCCACCCCATTGGCCCGTCAACTGGCGGAGGTGATCGAGAAAAATTTTGGTGATAGGCTACGCCAGCTAGAAAAGGACAATGTTAACGTTCTCCACCGCCTTGACAAGTTTGTGGCCTTCTACCAAGGGACGAGAGATTTGGTCAGGCCCTAGGAACCTTCTGCCAGGGAAGTAGAACCCGAGGACCTGAAACATCGTTTGAGTAACAGGGCGAGAAGCTCAAAGGCTCCAAAACGCCCGAGGGCCAGGAGACAACTCCCGGAGGTTCCAGCCAAGTGGACTAAGCCGTTGGCCTGGGATGACCTCCGTCAGAGCCTATCGGGGCGAGGGGGCGTGGAGGAGTTCGAGGAAGGATCAACCTTCTTTGTCCGCCACGAGACGAGGGACCGCCCTACCCGTCACCAAGCACGTAAAGATGTACTCCTTGAACAAGGGGACCTCAGAGCTCAGCTGGAGTTCGGAAGGAAGAACAAAACCCTACAGGAGGACGATATCGACGATGAAGTCATCCCATCCCTTTTTACGTAGAACATAATGGAGATGAAAGTGCCCAAGAAGTTCACAGTGCCAAGATTCAAGGTCTACGATGGGTGGTCTGACCCCGAAGCCCATCTCAGACAATATAAGTAAATGATGTCTCTGTTCCATTCGGATCATCAGCTACTATTTTGGGTGTTTTCGATGAGCCTGGGAGATTCTACCATGAAATGGTTTGAAACCCTTCCACCTAATAGTGTAGAGTCTTGGAGGGAGCTGACCAAACAATTCTCTGCCCGTTTTATCATGGGAAGTAGGCGACCCAAAGATGTCGGGTCATTGTTGACCTTGAGATTGAAAGAGGGAGAAACTATTCGCCAATATGCAGCTCGCTACTGGGAGGAGGTGAACGAGGTGGAAGGATGTTCCGAGGTCATGGCAGTAGCCTCTTTCAGGCTCGATTTCTCTCGGGACACCGAACTCTATCGATCTTTGACCAAGAAGACGCTAGGCGATATGGGAGAATTGAAGACCCGGATAAACAAGTTTTCTCGAATCGAGGACGAGATGGTGGGGGGCAGAGGAAGGGCTCTAGCCCCAAAGAGGAAGAGGATGCCTCTCTCCCGGAAAGGACTAATACCGTCTACAATGTGTTCTTTCAAGGGAGTTTACATTGTATTCAAAGAACCCATCTACAAATTGTTTCATAAAATCAAAAGGGAAGCCTTCTTCAAATGGTCACCCAAAATGTTGGGTGATCCGTCCACTCGAAACCAAAAGGTGAAATGTTCTTACCACTAGGATTTTGGACATCGAACCAAAGATTGCAGGGCCTACAAGTCTTTCCTAGAAAAGTTGGTACAGGACAGACATCTGAAAAGAGTTCATCGAAATGATAAAGGAGGTTCGCGGCGCCGATAACCAAACTGCTGCCCAAGGCAACGTGATCAACGTCATTCACATCTACACACTAGAACGCCCAACGTCCAAGACTCTTAGATCTGATCTAAAGAAAATAGCTTTCATAAGGAGGGTAGACGAAAGGGGTGATGACTAACTGGACAAAAGGCCCCGTGTCTGCAAGGAGGACATCACCTTCTCCAATGCTGACTTAGCAGGCATGGTCCTTCCCCATGAAGATGCTATGATCCTGACTTTGAAGATCGGGAGCTTTGACGTTAAAAGAGTCTTGGTGGACTTTGGAAGTTCCTTTGAGGTAATGTACTTTGAAGTTTTGAAGCGTATGGGGCTCGGCACACAGGACCTCGTCAAAGTCAATACACCCCTCGTGGGATTCAATGGTTCATATGCCCTACCTTTGGGAAAAATCATGTTGCCAGTTACTGCGGGGCCTATCACGACCAACACAGAGTTTGTAGTAATTGACTCTGATTCACCCTACAATATTATTATGGGACGGGCCTGGTTGCATACCCTGGGGGCTGTGCATTCAACTTATCACCAGAAATTGAAGTTCCCCACCTCGGAGGGAGTTACGGAGATCCGTGGGGACCTGGTGTCTGCCATAAATTGTTTCTATTCTGTGATAAGAGCAGGGGTCACCTCCAAGGAAAAAGAGCGTGCCCCCGGAGGAAATTCTAAACAAATAGAAATTACAATCTAGGCGTCTAGGAGTAGACGACCGCCAGATGAACCCTGCGGATCACTCGGTGGAGGATCTTTGAAAGATACTTCTGACAGAAGGAGATGAAGAAAAGAAGAGATGACAAACTTCCTGAGAAGGAATGTAGATGTGTTTGTGTGGACTTTACTGATTTAAACAAGGCTTGTCCTAAGGATGACTTTCCCCTCCCAAAGGTGGACCAGCTGGTGGATGCTACGACAGGACATCGACGCATGACCTTCTTGGATGCCAAAGCCGGCTACCATCAAATTCCTCTCCATCCGTTCGACCAAGAGAAGACAACCTTCATCACTCCAAGAGGAGTCTATTATTACAAAGTCATCATGTCTTTTGACTTAAACAACGCGAGGCCCACCTACCAGAGGCTCATGAATCGGATGTTCAAACGACAGTTGGAAAACACCATGGAGGTCTACATTGACGACATGTTGGTAAAAATTAAGAAAAGTGAAGATCATCTGGTGGACCTGGAGGATACCTTCTCGACCCTTCGAGAATATGGTCTAAAGTTGAATGCTGCAAAGTGTGTTTTCGGAGTTAGGTTTGGAAAGTTCCTCAGGTATTTGGTGAGTCACCGTGGGGTTGAAGCTAGCCCAGAACAAATACAAGCCATCCTGGACATATGAAGCCTCAGAACAGTTCGGGAAGTTCAAAAGTTCACAGGAATGTTGGCAGCACTTAGTCGTTTTATCTTCCGCTCGTCAGACAAGTGCAAACCCTTCTTTGGAGCCATCAGGAAGGCTAGGAAGGACGCTTGGAGCCAGGAATACGAAGACGCTCTAGGAGGGATCAAGGAGTACCTCAGGGTCCTACTGACCCTATCTGTCCCGCCCAAGGGGGAAATGTTGCTCTTGTACTTGGCCGTATCAGAATTCTCCGTAAGGGGAGTGTTGATCTATGAATATGAGTGTGAGGAGAAACCCATGTATTATGTGAGTAAACCCCTGTTAGATGCCGAAACGAGGTACCTACCCTTCGAAAAGTTAGCACTGGCGCTAGTCACAGTTGCAAGAAAATTAAGGCATTACTTCCAAGTGCACCCAATTACAGTCCTGACAGACCAACCTTTAAAGACTATACTTAGGAAGGTCGATCTATTGGGTAGAATCGCCAAATGGGTGGTGGAGATGGGAGAGCACGACATCCATTTCAGACCCCGCACTACCATAAAAGGTCAAGTGCTAGCCGACTTCATAGCGGAATTTTTCGGGGAGTCGCCCCTCTGGGAAGAAATTCTGCTTGTCGAAGGTTCGTTTCTC